TGAGGCTCTTTCTTTTCCCTCACGGAGGAAAGGCACGCCAATGGGAAAATACATTGAAGCCGAGTTCAATTACCACATGGGATGAATGTAAACAAGCATTTCTCACTAAGTTCTCCTCCCCATCCAGGACGGCTAAACTACGCTTTGACACCTCCACGTTCACACAAGCTAAAGATGAACATTTTAGCGAGGTGTGGGAAAGACTAAAGAGCTACACCATCAAATGTCCTCACCACAGCTATTCAAGTTCTTCACTACTAAGAATCCTCTATATAGGAGTATTGAAACGGCACAGGACATTGCTAGACACAGCAAGCAATGGTCTATTCCTCGGAAAAGACGTGGATGAAGGAATGCATCTAGTGGAGAACCTAGCAACAAGTGACGGCCATCACAAGGAGGAATTTGATGATGCAAAACGCCGAGAAAGAAAAGAAGAGAAACACCGAGGTGCTGGCATTGCAAGAACGGCTGGATATGCTATTGAGAGCACAAGAAAAGCCAAATGTTACTGAACATCAAGTCATGGAGAACTTAGCTACACGCATTGAAGAAACCCACTTAGTTCACGACAACTATCAACACGAGGACTTCAACAAAGCACAGCCAAACCTATATGGAGCACAACACGGCCACTACAACTCGTTCAACCAACATGGCTATGCCCCCCAACAACATTACTATCAGCAACCACCACCACCATATCCAACACACTACAGTCATCATGGCTACTACCCACCTCCACATCAAGACTGGATATAAAGAGTTTGCTTGCTTAGCTTGTCAAAACCTTCAGCACCCATACACAATAGATGGACTACATGAACACAAGGATGGACAAGTATGATACTGAAAGAAGCATGACAAACCACCCGAGATCTGGTAGTGCCCCCTCAAGCCAACAACCGCCTCCACAAACAGCATATGTACAAGCGGTTCAATTGCGGAGTAGGAACATACTCCCACCATGAGAGCCTTTACCACACCTCACTGTGGACGCTGAGAAACAAGTTGAGGTTGGGGGGGGGGGGGGGGGGGGGGGTGGGGGTGAGGTTGACAAATCCGATGATGAAGCTGTTAAAGAGATGAAAGTGTGGAAGAACAACTTTACACAAATTCAAAGAGTTACCTAAGGAGAAGAGCAAAGAAAAATGGTTTGTAACTCCGCCTTACAAACCGCCTTACCCCTTCCCAATCCGGTTCAAGAAGCAGCTCTTGGAGAAGTACAACGCATTGTTCGATACGGTTTGTAACTCCACCTTACAAACCGCCTTACCCCTTCCCAATCCGGTTCAAGAAGCAGCTCGTGGAGAAGTACAACGCATTGTTCGATGAGAAACTAAGAAAGATTGAACTCATTATACCCCTCATGGATGCAATTGCCTTGGTACCCCCCTACCAAATTTTTTTGAAAGAGGCTGTGTTATAAGGGACAAAGGAACTTCAAGTCATGGTGGTGCTAACGGCCGAATGTAGCGCCATGATACAAAAGAAGGTTGTCCCCAACAAGTTAGAAGACCCGGGAAGCTTTACCCTCCCATACTCAATCGGTCCACTCAAGTTCAATAATTGTCTTTGCGACTTGGGAGTAAGTGTGAGTCTCATACCTCTCTCTATAGCAACAAGGCTCGGTTTCACTAGCTATAAACCAAGCCGGATCTCCTTAATACTGGCCGACCGCTCTATAAGGTTACCAAAAGAATTGCTCGAAGACATTCCAATCGGAATATGAGGTGAAGAGGTGCCTACGGACTTCGTGGTCTTGGAAATGGATGAAGAGCCTATAGATCCCTTGATTCTTGGAAGACCATTCCTAGCCACGGCCGGAACAGTGATTGATGTCAAGAAAGGCAAGATAGAACTCAGGGAAAGGATATCCTCCTCAAATTTGACATCAATGATACTATGAAGAAGCCAACAATCGAAGGCAAGATCTTTTGGATAGAAGCGTTTGAGGAGTTTGACCAAGAGCTCTTTGAGGAACTGACTTCCAAGGACCCTCTGCTTGTTGCATTGACTAAGGAAGAAGGAGAGTATAAGCACTTGGATCGCGATAGTGAATCCTATGTCATGAGGCTGGATTCTTGGAGGATTGTTGAAGAAGACGAGTTTCCAACGGACCTTGAACATGGAAGGCACATGCTAACCTTGAGTAGAGAGGCTAGATCCATGGACACTAAGGGAGAAGTGGAAGCTATATCGGACTCAAGGAGAAACTTATACACGAAGATTAGAGCGAGCTTAGAGCACCAAAGCTAAAGCTCAAGCCACTGCCAGCCAAATTAAGGTACTCTTTTTTAAGCCCTAACTCAACCTATCTGGTAATTGTCAAAGAAGATTTAACCGAAAGCAACTTAATCTCCCTTCTTAAAGAACTTAAAAAGTATAGGAGAGCCATTGGAAATTCACTAGATGATATCAAAGGCATTTTTCCTACACTTTTCACCCATAGAATTCGCCTCGAGGGCGAGTCAATGGCCTCTATTAAACACCAAAGACAGCTAAACCCTAACCTCAAAGAAGTTGTTAAGAAAGAAATCTTAAAACTGCTTGATGCCGGTGTGATCTACCCGATATCAGACAGCCGATGGGTTTTACCGGTGCATGTCGTGCCCAAGAAGGGAGGTGTAACCGTTGTGAAAGATGAATCTGGTGAACTCATCTCCACCCGAACCATAACTGGACACCGAATGTGTATACATTATAGGAAGTTAAATGCAGCCTCTAAGGACCAATTTCCCTTACCATTTATTGATCAAATGTTAGAGTGGCTTGCAAATCACTCTTTCTATTGTTTTTAGGTGGTTATATTGGTTTCTTTCAGATCCCTATAGACCCCAATGACCAAGAGAAAACGACATTTACATGTCCCTACGAGACCTTTGCTTATAAAAGAATGCCGTTTGGATTATCTAACGCATCGGCCACATTCCAATGGTGCATGATGTCAATATTCTCTGATCTCATTGAGGAAATGGTGGAAGTATTGACAGATGACTTCTCCGTATATGGTTCCTCTTTTGCCTCATGTTTGTCCAATCTTTTTCAGGTACTTAAAGGGTGCGAAGAGACGATCTTGGTACTGAATTGGGAGAAGTGTCATTTCATGGTAAGAGAAGGAATAGTGCTAGGACACAAGATATCCGAGAAAGGAATCGAAGTGGACATGGCTAAATTAGAGGTCATGAGGCATCTTAAGCTTTCTAGAGCATGCTGGTTTCTACAGAAGGTTCATCCGTGATTTCTCCAAAATAGCCAGACCCTTGACAAAGCACTTGTGCAAGGAAGTCGAGTTCGTATTCAACACGGAGTGTCTCCACGCATTTACCAGGATAAAGGAAGCTCTTATGAGTGCTTCGATAGTCCAATCTCCAAACTCGGAACTTCCGTTTGAAATCATGTGCGACGCCAGTGACTACGCAGTTGGAGCTGTTTTGGGGCAAAGAGTAGACAAGAAGTTACACGTAATTTACTATGCTAGCCGCACCCTTGATGAGACACAAGTCAAGTACGCCACCACCGAGACGGTAGTGTTGGCTGTAGTCTTTTCTTTTGAGAAGTTAAGGAGCTATTTGGTGGGATCCAAGGTTATCGTATTCACGGATCATGCAGCTCTGAGGTACATCTACGCGAAAAAGGATACCAAGCCACAATTGTTAAGATTGATACTCCTTCTCCAAGAATTCGACATGGAAATTGTGAACAAAAAGGGGATTGAAAACGGCGTGGCCTATCAGTTGTAGCACAAAGGGTTATCGAATCCCAAAGGAGTAAGCTACTACACTATAGATTTTAGATTCAGATTAAGCTAAGCAGTAAATAATGAATGTAATGCGAAATAACTAAATAAAAGCAAGCAGGCGATTTTGAATGGTTGTTCTAAAGTTCAGAAAGCTAAAGGCACTAAGTCAGGATAATTCACAGGTTGAATCCGAGAATGTAGAATGCATGCAATCAGGAATCAATTAAAACCGTCTAAGAACTCGAAACACAATGATATAACTAATCAATTCTCATTGCAGAAGTTATCTATGCTTAATTCACAGAATTTCAAATCTCCTTGCAAATTCTAACAAGTCAAGCAAGAATTAGTGATCAGGTTTCGACTGTTCACAAAACTTTTAAGTCAAATCTTTTTGCAAATAGGCGTTTTCCTCATCTAGTACTAGTTCAGGTGATTAACAATATTCTCACATCTATTAAACAACCTAAGGTTTCGAAATCTAGATGATTAGTCTAAGAAATCGATATTAATACAAGCACAGATGAAGAACAAATAAATTTTTGGCAATTATACAAACTCTTCATCAACCCTTAAATCATCCTAACTTAACTAACAGACTACTCAGACTTGATTATGGATAAACAAAGCATAGCTGAATAATACTGCATTAAAAGATAAAGAGTAGAGATACAAATGGTTCGAATTCTTCTCAGAGTTGTCTCCCTCAAAGCTATGCAAACTATCTCTCTCAAAAGCTCTCTAGAAATTCAGATACAAGATAAAAGCCAGCAATGGCTGAAAAACTAATATACAGGCTAAAACACAAGCTGAGGTCTTCTTGTAAATAGTAGAACTCTTGGGTCAAAAGTGCAAATTCCTCTCCATCTTTTAAATAAAACATGCGACTCCTTTCAGATGAGGGTGACGAGTGTCACCCTTAAGTGGTGACGATCGTCACCAATGCACAATAACACCTTATGAGTTGCCACTTTCGGGAATGATTCTTGCTTTAATCCAAAAAACTCCAAAACCTCCAATTATGCTCCAGTCATACTATAATCGGTAAAGACTCTACTATAACTCTAAAAAGACCATAAAAAAAGAATTAGACCATAAATAAAAACCATGATATATTAACCCATTTGAACAATGGTTGGATCTGTAATTAATTGAAATTAAAAAAGAATAAATCAATAAGAATTCGCATAAAATAATTAGATAAATATCAGTTTTATAATGGGGGCAATCATGATCTTCTTTTGAATTACAAGGGTAAGCCAGCCATTGATTCTAGAGATAAGGAGTTCGTGAGGGGAGGAAGAAGGAATAGAAGAGAGAGAGGAGAGGAAAGAAGCGGAGGAGAGGATTAATTGAAATCCGACGGCCATGGAGGACGATTGCCGAGAGGAAAACTCGGCCCGGCCATGTGTACGAAACCCTAGCCACTTCAAAATCAACGGTGATTTAGACCTAATCAGCTCTCTACCAAACGAGATCCTCCACCACATCCTCTTGTTTGCTCCGACAAATTTAGCTATCACGACTAGCGTCTTGTCCAAAAGATGGAGGCGTGTATGGTGCGATATACCATCTCTCTCTTTTCAATTGCATAAAACGTCTAATGAATCGATCAGCAAAACCCTAGAAAGCTACTCGGCCACCAAAATCACGAGTCTCCATCTCTGCCTTGAAAGCGGAATCTACTTAGAAAGCAAAAGGAATCACGAGGTTCACGACATTGATAACTTGATCAAGTTTGCAATGTCCCGCAACGTGGAGAAGCTTTCTTTGGATTATGGTATATCTTCTTATTACCCTCTTCCAGGCTTCCTCTTCAGCAATTCTTCCCTAAAGGAACTCATCGTAAAATCAAGATATAGTATCTCCACATCTCTATGCACCGTCGTCTCTTGGACATCATTGACGAACTTGTCTTTGAGATGCTCTCTACTCCCGGATGAATCCATTCAGAAGATTCTGTCTGGTTCTCCAATGCTGGAAAGCTTGTCATTTATGTATTGTCGTTCACTTTGCTGTCTTGATCTGAGTGGATCGGTGCGCCTTAGAAGACTGACTATAGATTTCGAGTATTATTCTCCACAACTGAAGATCGTGGCTCCTCATATCCATTATTTGAGATTGATAAATCTTAAGGGAAAGTGTACTTTAACTGATGTATCCTCTTTGATCGAAGCTAACATAGACACTGCCTATTACTTGCCTAGATTCTGGTGTATTGAAGTTAATCCCTTGAAGGCTATTGATTTTCAAGTCATAGTGGAAACCATGCTAGAAAGTTTGCACAAAGTAGAGAACCTTACCGTGGGGCTTAGCTTTCTTCAGGTATGGTGTCGTTCTTCTTGCACCTTTTTTAATCTTCAATTAGAAACTCTCTATGTTGCAGAATCACACTTGAGTTGCAAAGTCGTTAGTATTAACACATCTACTGTATATGAATATATCCTTCTTTCTTTTATCATGTTGTTTAAGCAACTACATAGCCTATGATGTTTAACGGGTTTGCTTCGGCTGTTCTTTTGTTAAGAACCAGAACAAAAACATTTTGGTACTTAATATCTCCTCGTCAATCTTGCGCTAGATGCTCTCTATGGCTGAGTACTGTGGTGTTCCTTTCCCGACGTTTAAGGTCAAAACATTGACTCTTGAAACAAGAATTTTGCGATCTATGGTTCCTGGTATAGCAAAGCTGCTACAAAAATAACCTCTATTGAAGAAGATAACTGTTTACATGTCTGGAGATTGGAACTGCGCAGTGGTATCTTTACCATAAACCTCTTTTCTTTCCTTTACCTATGAGGGATAAAGCCATCAAGTGTTTTCGTTTGTATGCATGATTATAACTTTTTGTGCTTTGCAGGAAAAACATGTTAATAACTATATAGACCCACAATACTTGGACTCGGACCAATGTTGGAGATTCAAAGATGTGGCGTTTCCGCCTTCGTCGGAGTTCAAATTTGCAAAGCCTAGTCTCTTCGGTTCGTTCATGGAACTTTTGCTGGGTAACACAAGAAAACTCGAGACATTGGTTTTATAATTGGGAAGTTTTTTTAATAGATCAAGTTTTGATGAGCTCTCTCAAATCGCTCTTACCCTTTCAAACAAAAACAAGGTCGCAATTGTACTGAAGTGATCAAGTAGTGTTGAATTGTGTATCACAGGTTCTAGTGTTGGGAACCATTGAACATTTTCATATCAGAATTTTTTTTAAATAATTCATTCTACAATTTTAATTTTAATAGAGGACTTCTCTTTGAGAATATTGTGAGAAGCGGTCAATTAATGTCGAAAATACCATTTAAACAATCATTTTGAAATAATAACAAAACTGTCATTTATTTATCAACTAGGCGATTGTCCACGCGGATGTGCGGGTAAATACAGTTATTGAATTATTTAGAACTGTATAACATCAGATCAAATATCCATAACATCAAATTTAAGCTCAAATAGTACAATCTATTATCTTTCTTATTAAGCAAGAACGCTTTCTCCAGGCTCAGAGACATCTCCATATACTCCACCGTTTAGTGGCTTCTTGATCCTATATTTACTGCTTACTCATTCAAAAAGAAAGGTTATTCTCATCTATCTACATTATCCGTTCAGTTCATAAACGTTTCTCTGTTCGAATCTCTCCCAAATACGCAATATTATCAAGAAGACATATATTGTAGTTGACAAGTTTATGAGAATGAGAGGAACGGAAAGTACACTCAACAGCCGATGAGATCCTATTCTTCCTTAAGTCTTCTTCGATCGACGAAGATTCTGTGTGGGATAAGATTCTGCCCACATAATGGTGTGGAGGATATTGATTCTTCCTTCCTAGCAGTTTTAGTCTACTCAAGGTCATGTAACCTTACTTTTGTAAGGGGTGCTGGTACGAAGAGTTAAACCTGCATCCGATGCAAGCAAAGTTGTGAAGGAGGTAAAGAGCATGGATCATAGGATTATTACTTTACCAAATTTCCATAGTCAAATCTTCTCATCTTTGATTCGTTATGTTAATTGTTGAATCAGGGAGATGTGATTATAAGTTTTGATGATCTACACATGGGATGTGAAGGTATTGTACACTTCCGATCCAGTGAAGGCATTGCGTTACGTTATATCATCAGTCAAAGTAGGGACCTCTTTTTCTTGTCCACAAGTGTAATGATCTCCTTTGCTTCTCCTCATGTGTGGCTTTTTATTTTACTTAACAGATTTGCAGGGGGTGTCGCAGAGCTTGGTATCATTAGAGCAGGAGAACTTAAGAAAGTTCAAGTAATTCTAAGGCCAAGAGTGCACCTGGTACTATCTGCACCTACCAGTTGAAGCTTTCCATTTTTCAAGACCCGGTCGTGCTATATGTATTTGGGATCAAAAGGGCTCACTGCCCAATAAACTAATTACTAAAGCTTCATTGCCTTTCATGCTTGTAATTAGGTTCTGTACCATATTGATACAACATACTTTTATTTTTCATGTTGTTGTTGTTCTTTGCAACAGTCTAAAAAATTAAAATCACTATTTAAATAAAACCAATATGAACACAACATAGCGTTCTCAAACAAAAATAAAATCGATTGACTGTTCAAACATACTCATGATTAAGTGTGAAGATACTTTCTAAGCATTATCAACCAAATCATATGCATGACATGCTTCCTTAATGGTAGGATAAACAATCCCATTGAAGGTTCTAATATCGTCATAAGAACATGATCTTTTGACTTTATGCAATAGAAGCCATAGATAATGGATCTCTCTTAACGTTTCCAGACTACGCAAACACATCAAACAACAACTTGGTGAACCTCGAGACCTAGGTTTCCAACGATGTCCCTTGGGATCTTATACCCATTTTGAAGGAAACTCTGAATAAATTAACATGTTTGCTTCAGGATAAATTGTATTACACTTCATCCAAACCAAAAACTTGCGAAATCAATCCCTCTTTAGGTAGAATGGCAACAAATAAACACCTACAAAACATGAACAAAATCTAAGAGTGCTAACAAAGAAAATTAGAAGTATAGCAGAATTAAAAACCGTATAAAAACTAGCCTGAACCTGGCTTCATAGATAATAGAGTAATTTAGGTAAACACAACAAATAACCTACAAAATTAGCGAAATATGCTGAATTATAATCGATGAAAAGCTAAATTTATTATATTTTAGAACAATGATATCTATAAGAAAAGAACAAAGAAAATGACTTTTATCAAAGGACTTAAAGCGTAAAGTATGCCTAACCTACGAACTTTATTAAGTGGTTCTTGTGTTAATATTTTGAGTTTATGCTAAATAGAAGTATTTATAATGTTGAATGGCTGAAAATTAGAAACAGAAGTTAGGGCTAACCTAGCCGGATTAGGTTTAGGGTTAGTATGATGAACATATGGTTTAGTCTATTTGTTTGGTTTAGTTTATTTGTTTACTTTAATATAATTCGATTTTTTATTAAGGATAATTTTCATAATTTTGAATTAAGTTAAGGGTTAGTATGATGGACGTGTTCATTTGTTAGGATTAGTTTAATAATTTAAATCTATTTTTATTAAGAATAATTTTCATTAAGGGTAATTAAAGCAAATTAACATGAGGGGCAAATAGTAATCAACCATCATAACTCTCAACTACAGCCCAATTTGCTTATCAAAGGACTTAAAACGTAAAGTATGCCTAACCTACGAACTTTATTAAGTGGTTCTTGTGTTAATGTTTTGAGTTTATGCTAAATAGAAGTATTTATAATGTTGAATGGCTGAAAATTAGAAACAGAAGTTAGGGCTAGCCTAGCCAGATTAGGTTTAGGGTTAGTATGATGAACATATGGTTTAGTCTATTTGTTTGGTTTAGTTTATTTGTTTACTTTAATTTAATTCGATTTTTTACTAAGGATAATTTTCATAATTTTGAATTAAGTTAAGGGTTAGTATGATGGACGTGTTCATTTGTTAGGATTAGTTTAATAATTTTAATATATTTTTATTAAGAATAATTTTCATTAAGGGTAATTAAAGCAAATTAACATGAGGGGCAAAGAGTAATCAACCATAACTCTCAACTACAGTCTAATTTGCTTGCCAAATAATAATATGATTATCCCTAATAAATTGATATATGTTTTTATTGGAACTGCTAATCAAAAAACACACTTTTTTTATATATTTATAAGTATTGCCACCTCATTCTCAATTCTGGAATGCACTCGTTAATCGGTTATGCTAAACTGACATGTACAAATCATTTTTGTCTAGTGCTAATCAAACTACGACACGTTGTCTTTGAGGTCTTCGCGAAATCGTTAGCAAAAAAAAAAAACTTCGTCTTGATTGAGATTAATTGGGCAAATCGTCAAAGGATAAAATAGTAGTCAAAGATGAAGTGAGTCTGCAAAGCTTCAGCTTCTCCCCTGCGTCAGCAAGACGCCTGTCTAACGTCTGCGTCTCATCAAACATGGGATGTCCTCGTCTTCTTGTCCCACAACCCGAGTTTATCTGGTGATAATATAATATTTTTGTGGCATTTACCCGTGAAAGAGAAACTACGGCATGTCGTGAATGAGTTCAACTTGCCAAATCGTCACAGAATATCATAATAGTAGTCAAACGTGAAGTGAGTTTGGGCAGACTCTGCTTCTCACCTGCGGGAGGAATATATCATCGCCATCAGTCTGTCAAACGCCTGTCTAACGCCTGCGTCTCATCAAACATGAGATAACCTCGTCTTCTTGTCCCCACAACCCGAGTTTATCTGATGACATTATAACATTTTTGCAGCATTTACTTGAGAGAGAGAAACTACGGCACGTCGTGAATGAGTTAAACTGGCCAAATCGTCATAGGATATCATAATAGTAGTCAAAGTTGAAGTGAGTTTGCGCAGCCTCTGCTTCTAACATGCGGGACGAATATATGCTCGCCATCAGTCCACCAGACGCCTGTCTAACGTCTGCGTCTTGTCATCTGTGCGTTTCTCAACATCACGTCCATAAAAAAAAATGGCAGTCTTTTTTAAAAGTTTATCTGGTGGTGACTATATAACATTTTGCGACTTTTTCTCCACGTGCAAAAACTAGAATAACGTCGTGTTTGATGTCTTTAGCCAAATCGTCAGAAGATATCACAATAGTAGTGAAAGGCGTAGTGAGTCTACGTAGCCTCTGCTTCTCGCATGCGTCTGTGCGACACCGAGAGAAGGAAACTACGGTACGTCGTGAATGAGTTTAACTGGCCAAATCGTCACAGTATATCATAATATTAGTCAAAAGTGAACTAAGTCTCTGCATCCTTTGCTTCTCACCAGCGGCAGGAATATATGTTCACCATCAGTCCGCAAGACGCCTGTCTAACATCTGCGTCTTGTCATCTCTGCGTTTCTCAACGTTAGGTCTACAAAAAAAATGGTGCAGTCTTTTTTGTATGTTTATCTCGTGGTGAGTATATAACATTTTTGCGACTTTTTCCCACGTGCAGAAACTAAAATAACATCGTGTTTAATGTCTTTGGCCAAATCTTTAGAGGATATCATAATAGTAGTCAAATGTGAAGTGAGTCTACGCATCCTCTGCTTCTCGCCTGTGTCCAAGAGACGCATGTCTAACGTCTGCGTCTCATCATCTGCATGTTCATCAACATCACGTCCCACAAAAAAATGGTGCAGTCTTTTTGATTCTCGTCAAACATAGGATACCCTTTTCTTCTTGTCTCCACAACCCGAGTTTATCTGGTGATAATACAACATTTTTACGGCATTTATCTGAGAGATAGAAACTGCGGCACCTCGTGAATCAGTTCAACTGGTCATATCGTCACAAGATATCATAATAGTAGTCAAATGTGAAGTGAGTCTGCGCAGCCTCTGCTTCTCACCTGCGGGAGGAATATATGTACGCCATTAGTCCGCTAAACTCCTGTCTAACGTCTTCACATTGTTTTCTTTACATAAACCAATAACCTCCAATTATATAAGAAATATTGCAAAAATCTGTTTGTTTACATAAACCCAATAACCCCCATTTATAGAGGAAGTGATTTCAATTTTAAATCATCTAAAAGGACCTAGGTGTGCCTTTCATCTGCCATACTTCTTATTCCTGCTTTAGTCTGCGTAGTCTCTGCTTTCCAGCAGCGACATTGCAAGGGCTGAACTACTACTTGCCAGGGTTAAATGGTAAATAATCATTTTAATTAGCAAATGTAATCTTATTATATAAAGCTGGATATGTCAAAGTTAGTAATTCACAAGATTGTGACACATGGGAAGTTAATCGATTAGATTTCGACATGTGTCACGATAAAATTTAAAATAAATAAAATTTAGGAAATATCACTATTGTTAAAAAATAATATATAACTACTACAATATTTAAATATATATATATATATCAATTAAGAAAAGGAAACCATTTTCAAAAAAGTAAAAACGAATCTTAAAAAAGGGAAAATATTACTCACATCGTTATAAACATATGAAATCTCTTAAAAATTTTACTAGGTTGATTTTTCTTATAGACTCAAATCAAATGAATTAGATGAGAAACTGATGAATCGATGAAAAACAATCAGGAATTGCAGAAGCATAATAAAAGAAAAGCCAATATTTCTTTCAAATATGTAGCAAATTTTATATGTTAGTAATTCACATGGTCATGACATATATCAAATTTTTCGATTAAGATTTTTGACACGTGTCGCGATTAAATTAAAAATAAAACATAAATTTAGGAAATATCATAACTGTTAAAAAATGAAAAATAACATATAATTACTATTATATCTAAAAATATATTTATTCAAAAATTCTGTATTTTAACTAAAAAAGGAAAACAATTTAAAAAAAAGTAAAAACTAATCCTAAAAGAAAAAGGAAATTATTACTCACATCTTAATAAATACATAAAAATATTTGTAATTTTTCTAGGCTGATTTTACTCTTACACTCGAATCAATTGGATAAGATGAAAAACTAATAAAGCGATGAAAAATAATCAGAATTGCGGAAGAAAAATGAAGGAGAAAGCCAATTTTGCTGTGATACCATTTTAACAAATGAGATTCTCGATGAGAGTTTGTTAGAGAAAAATCATATTTGTAAAAAATATAAAAGTAAATACAAAATGAAAGAGAAAGTCAGTTTTCTCATCAGTTTTATGTTAAGTGGTTTTGCGAAAATCTTCTCAAACTTAATTTTAAATATTCACAATGATCTATTTTTGTTTTTTACTTTTTCATGTTAGTCATATTTTTTTGAAAAATATAAAAGAAAATATGGACCAGAAGAGAAAACCAGTTTCTTCACTCAGTTCTATTATAAGTAATTTTGTTT